AAAAGTTTTTAAACCTTAGCCTTTTTTTCACTGATTTGTAGTTGGTTTTTTTTTTTTTTTTTTTTTTTAAACTCTGCCCTCAGTCTCTTCTCTCATGAAAGGGTGCAATCCCATGGAGGTTAAAGTCTGACTGCTGTGAATTACCACCATGCTATTTCACCCATGCAGCTTTCAGAGGTGGCAAGTGTGGGCAGCCTGGCTTGAGGGGCCTGGTAAGGCAGGTAGTCGTAATAAAACGTGTGCCTGAAGAGTGGCCCCGAACACTTTGAATCAAGGTATGGGGGGGTTCAACCTGAGCCTTTGCTTCAATGCTTTCTAGTAAATTAAGATTCCTCCCCCCACCCCAGGAAACTCTTCCTCTCATTTTCTAATCACTTCCAGCCATAAATAACAGACCCACTAACGGCACAGCTCAGCTTTAATCCCAGGAGGCTGTTTACTGGAACTGGAAAGTTCCCATACTTCCCAGCAATGTCTGACACTGGGATTGCCTGGTAATGCAAATGCTGCAGTAATGGGAACACAAGAACAGCACTGGCAGCATAACAGTGGAGAGTAAAAGCACTGGCTAGTTTTGCACGGAACAGAGAAACAAAGAGGTGCCTCATTATCAAGGTTAATCTTGCACATTGAAATTTTTATACCATAGCAACTTTCTCATTATTCAACATCAGTCCTCAAAAGTGATGCTCAAGTTGAGCAAGAAAAAGATGTGAAGCTGACTGGTCTGCAATTACATTATAATGTATTACAAAAGGGCTGGCAAAGAGGCCACTTATATCATTGTCCCTGCCCATTAAGAGGACTTTAGCATGGCCTGTGAAGCTGGTCTTGCATTAAAATACAGAAGCCAATGTGACTGCTAGGAGTAATGGGACAGTTGCCAGGGCTGCTTTTACCAGGAAGCTGCAGTGCTTCTCCTTCTGCCTCAGAAACGCTTCTCTGGATATTTGCTTAGGTGAACAGGGTCTTTTAAAGACAAAGTCCTTTAAAATTAGTGATTTAGGTATTTAGAAGAGCCCTGGTAGCATGGAGACTCCCACACCCAGATCTCTGCCCCAGGGCTGCCCACACCTCCCAGAGCTCCTGAGCACTGAGCAGGACACATGAATTTGATTTGCAGACTCCCTGAGCAGGGAAGCCCTCTCCCCAGGCTTTGGGGAGAAACATGCAGAGACCCAACAGAAACAAGCAGTGTGCTGGGGGGTGCACAAGTTGCCCGAGGACCCGTGGCTTTGGAGTGACACATCCCACAGGTCTGACTGTGGCAGAGCACTGGCCCCACTCAGCCCCAGGGCAGCCATTTCCCTCCGTAACTGGGGACCACACACCTGGGCCTGGAAGCTCCCCGTGTCCTAAGGGGAACTTCTGCTGCAAGAGGTTCAAAAGCGAGTGAGGAGGTGAGACTGACTTACTGCTCTAGGTTGACTACACAGTAAGCAGCGGTGATAACTACATCTTCTCGGACCAGACTGCTACCACAGGAATGGAAATGGCCCAGTTTGAGGGACACCTTCAAAGACAGGGTCAGGTACATTTTGAGATGAGGTGACTCCCATTTCCTCCCAAAATGGGAAATAACAAAGATAAGCCTAGCCCAGAAAACTACTTTTTCCTCCCAGTATTAGTGTGTGGGACGCTCAGCTGCCTGGAGCCCAGGGGAGTCATTTCCAAGCCATGGCTGATCCTTGGCAGCCACCTTCAGCCCCAGTGTTGCACGAGAGGAATGAGACCCTGGAGCATCCTGAAACAGAGGGGACCAGACAGACATCTTACTCCTATTTCTTAATGCTGCAAGAGCTTCCCCAGGGCTTGATGCTAGCCAGGGGTCCAGATGATCCATCCCCCTGACCCCAGCACCCTACCTCTGCCTACACTACCCCCTCCTGTGCTACTACCTGCATACATTTTCAAGCTGCTGCATGTGGAGGGACTGGGTTTTGGGGGGGAGAGAGGTGGCAAATACTGTTTTGCCACAGGTGCCACCGTTTTCTCTGGCAACATGTAAACAAGTAGTATTTTTCTAAATAGGGCTGTGCCCTCTTAGTTACTCATAAGGCATCATCTCACAATCATTGCTCAGTGGTTTTCCTTACATGAACACAAGCCACTAGGCAAGATAGCTTTCCTCTGCAGCAGGGGACCAGGGAGGCATCCTCCTTTGCCACCTCTGCAACCTCCCTGCAAGGAAATCCTCAGCTGGTACATGCCACAAAAAGCTCTGCAGCTGCATTAGCTCACACCAGCCAGAGATCTTGTCTAAACGATTAGATCAGCTCATTCCCTCCCACTTTGGGGTGGGGGTCAGCCTGAGGAGCTGGGCAAGAGCGACTTTTAGACCAGCTTCCACTCCTGAGTGAGCAGCATTCAATGACTTTAGGATGAAGGAGATTTTGCTGCTGCCTCTGCTCCCCCTTCCCTGGGAGGAAGGCAGCGCACTGCAACACAGACCTGCCCGGGCTGCCCTCCAGGCATGAACGCTCTCCCTCCAACAATTCCGAGAGAAGAATCCCAGCAGCAGAGCATCCTTTGGGCTCTTCAGGTCAATGGGATGAAGTCCACACTTCAGGCCTACGTAGGAGACGGAAACAAGAATGTTTTGCAGTGAGACACCCCCCCACATGCTCAAATCTATCACCCCAGGCTCTTCTGGCAGGTAGGGAATTAATGGGACAAATCCCAGGTGTCCCAGTTTTCCTGAGTCCAGCCTGAGCTCCAAGCTGAAGGCATTTATATGGAAATAAATGAAAACACACAGAAATTACATTTCTTGATAAGAATCTGATGTGTGCAAAGCTGAGGTCTCCCGTGAGGTATTTGCATGATGTGCGTACACAGTCATAAAAAAAACAAATTTAGATTTCATCCAGCAGTCTAATTATTCTTAATGAAATGCAACTGGGACTTACAAAATTAAGTAACAAGTGCAACAGGTTATAATGGTGCTACCTGACTTTATTCAAAGTTTATTATTCCAAAGCTTCCATGGCACTTAACCTGAGCAAGTAAAGTCATCGTGAAAGGTCTTATCTCTGAACTGAGCTGGCCCAGCATATGGTCTTGGCTTTGGTCTGAAACACAGCGCAAGACAGAGCTTTCTCACATCGCTTTTGGCACCGATTGTGCCTTAGAAATGTGGACAACGAGCACGGGGAAAGTTTGACTTGGGGATGGCTGGGTCTGATTAAGTTTTAGATGCTTCATTGAACCGTGCAGTTTGAGATAAATTCATAGCAATCCCATTTGTGTTTTCTAGGGAAAACCCCACCAGTCCTCTCCCAGCAGGAAGCGATGCACACACCGACAGGCCTGCCAGACCCCACGCTGAGTGGAGGAGGAAGGGGTGTGATGCTCCCCTGGGTCAGCTCCAGAACATGATCATCACAGCAAAGCTCACATAGGAGGAGCCACCTCAAATACTTGGGACACAAAGAAAAGGAACCAACTGCAACTTCTCAAACCAGAGGTCTGCTTCTCCAGGCTGGGTGGTTGTGGGAGAGGGATAGCATCAGGCTTCTGGCTCCTTTCCTGCGAGGAGGACAGCAGCTCTTCCTCCGCTCCCTTCAGCTGGCCCCATGTCTGCACCAGCTAAAAATCACTCTGTTAATCACTCCTGTCCGATGTGTTTCTTACGCCAATAGGAGGGGTCCCTGCCTCTCCCAAGCCAAGGCTGGGATAAGAATTCAGTTCCCAGCCAAGCAAACATAAGCAATATAATGCCTATGATTTAGGAGGTACTCACACCATATTTGCCCTGGCGAGAGCCTGGAATAACTCACTGGCATCACCAGGACACTGAATCTGGATCCAAAACATTACCAACTATCACAACAACACCCCTCCAGCCGTCTCTCTAATTTTGGGTCCTATGTTCTCTGTGTAGGCTTGATGGCAATGCTACTTGCTTAACCTTCCCATCAGGTTGACAGGCATTAGAAAGCCCACCAATCTCTCACACCACCTTATCTGAGTGACAGTGAATTGGGGAGCCCACATCTTTCTCCTCTACCCAGACAGCCAACCACCCCAAGACCTCAGCAGCAACAAGCAAGACTCACCCCACAAGGTTGTGGAGATCCTTGCACAACTCCTGCAGCATTCCTGGCTGTAGAGGGGCTAACTGAGCTCCTTGCTGCCCCGTTCAGCCCAGCTCCTCTCTCTCTCCCCCTCTTCTAGTAGCACTTTATCATATTCCCAGGGCACTCTCTGGTCTCAAAGCATTTGACTACTGCAGAGAGCTCAGTCACAAAATCAGGCACAATTTTCTAAGCCATTGACCTGGACCAAGCTCTCCCTAGCCCTTGCTGCTGACTAGCTTTTCCAACAAGAGACCGTGGTGATTATTGCTATAGCGGCAAGTCTACTAGCGAAGTAGAAAATAAATAGACTTTATCAGGGAGGTAAATGATGGAGAAAACACCATTCCCTTAGGTGGGGAGAGAAACAACATTAGCAACAGCAGAAGGACCAGCATCATATTGGAGCAGGGTAGGAGGAATGTCAATTAGCCAGTTATCCCATCTCTTGCCCCAGATGGGCAGATGTTTTTAGCACTAGTTTCATTAGCGGGAGCAAGTCACTCTGAAGATCACCATTCTTCTGCCCAACTTGATCCCCTTTGCAGCCTGCCCTGTGCTTATTTCCCTCTCTTATCTACAAGCATCCCTAGGAAAAAAAACTTTTACATGGATGTGGGAGCAGGCCAGACAGGGAGTTATAAATACATTAGCCACTGTAGGAGGATGTGCAAGGATTTGAGAACATGCTGCCATGAATTGCTCTCCTAGACACTTTTCTGACCTGAGTGCCCCAGGATCACCAGTTCGCAAGCTCAGCAGGACCAAGCTATTTCTCTTTCTTGCACAGCCAAGGGACCACGCCGCAGCTGAGCCCCCTGCATGGGGAACAGCTCACTTGCCACAGCAGCCAAGGAGAGAGCACCTAGATGGAAAGGGTAAGAAGGGTTTCCAGTCCCAGCAGAGCTACAGGAAGAGCAGACCAAAATCACTTACACCAAGCCCTGACATGATTTGTGAAAACTGACCAGTTACATTCACTTTTTTGGTACCTTAAAAGAGCAGATGATAACACCAGTGCTCACTGCTGTAGTCCCCACACTGGGGCACATCTGCCCTCTGCCCACAGCCCACACACAGGACTCACCTCATGGAGCAAGAAGGGACACCAGCAGCAAGAGGAGCCCTGCTCCCACCATGGCCCAGGAAAAAAAACCCAATGCTAGATCCCAGGCTATGCTCTGCTGCACGCAGGAGAAAAAACCCTCCTCCTCTCAGCTAACGAGCCCCTTTAATAGATGAGGGGCCAATCAGTATTGGCAGGTGAGGATGCAGGGCTGCAATTCAAGTGGGTTTGGAGGCTCTCCAGCCATGTCTCATCAGGGGTCACTAGCTCGCTGGGCTCTCCTGTTTGTAGTTTGCTGTCCACTCCCCACCAGTACAGCGGCAGGATCTAACGCCCCCCGTCACCATTGCCACCAGCCCTGAGCTGCCTCAGCCCTTGCGGTTTGAAACAAATCTCATTGCTTTTGCAGAGGAGAGTTAGCACAGGCAAAGTCTAGTCCAGCCAAGTTCCTCGCCCCGTGGTCTCTCCTCGCCCAAGCCGGCCAGGGGGAGCCCTTTTGTAAGGCATGGTGGCGTGTTTCTTCTTCCTTCCCAGAGGACACCAAGAGAGCTGTGTGAAACCTCCAGCAGCTTCTTGCCTGTGAAGCAATACACGGGGCTTACGGAGAGCCTTAAGTAGCTGCCATAAGGATGAAAATTATTTGACCTTTTTTGCAGGGAGACTTGTTGTCCATATACTGCAAGAGCAAGCTCCGTTAAGAAACCCTGCACTGTCGGGATCCAGGAGAACTTCACGGCGTACGGGCTGACTTCAAAGTGAGCGTGCAATTTCCCTACATGCTACAAAGGGTTTTGCACACACCAAGATGGCAAAACCCACTATGGCTTGTGTTCAGGGCTTTCGATTCTCTTTCAGGTCCATTTTCAATGGGGGTGCTTATCACCACCACAATCCCCTGAATGAACCCAAGCCCTGGGAGCATGCAGCAGCATCTGGGAATGTCTGCCAGGAAGAAGGGAATTAGAACAAAATGAGTTTCTTTTTACTTTCTGTTCTGTTTTTCTCTTTGCACTCTGTAGACTTAAGTTTGTTTGACACATTCCTGACAGATATATAAAGCCTGACATGAAGAGCTTATGTCAGTGTAACACGTCCAGTCAAGACTGCGTAAGCACCAGCCCTCATCCTTTCTCATGCTCAGGCTCCAAAAAATGCCTGCTCTAATGTTTTTATATGGCCAGACTCAAGTGTATGTGCTGCATAGTTGCTCCTACGTGAGCAATCACTGGGACTCCTTGGGCAGTAAAATGCAAGTCAAGTGGAGTAAGAAACTTTGGCCCTTCCACCTCCAGAAGAACTTGTTCACGATTGGTCCTAAGGAACAGACTGACCCCATAGCCAAGGGAACAAAACCAGACACAGCACTTACTTTTCTTACTTTTTATATAAAATAGACATTTACATACATTTTCTTTTGCAAAGACTTCGAGCATAACTCCTTTATGTGAAATCTAGCCATAAATCCCACAGTGAAAAAAGCAAAGACTTTGCAAATTCCTGTACCACTGACATACATCCAGCTGCTGCTAAGTGTGAATTTATTTTTCAAAGATTTCTAATCCACGGGCTGTTTTCTTGTTGTTGTTTTTTTTTTTTTAAAAAGATATGCACAACTGATTAAAAAAAAATATACAGAAATAAGAACCATATGAACAACAGGCAATGCAAACAACTCCTGCATGAGAGGAACACGCAGTGTGACATCCACTTCAGGCAGAGATTTCTACAGTAATACAGTTGTAGAAGCCATAACTTTTACAGAGGATACCACTGGGGGTATTTTCCAGAAGAAAAAATTTTCAGCAAGTCAGTACAAACATGGCAATGAATTTTTGCACAAAGTTATCGAGATTACCTGAAGCAACTTTGCCACATTGAAACACTAGTGAATGCCAAGCGCTTTTTTTTTTTCTTTTTTTTTTTTGCCCCCCCTGCTAGGTTTAAATGTACATGAAAGCAAAATGGTGCATTTTGAAATTGCTGCAAGAGACTGAAGGTTGGGGAAAAAAAAAACCCTCTAAGGGCTAATTTTTTCCAAAGATTGTGCATAATTGCATATATCAAAGATAGAAATTGAGCACTTGGTCAACTTAATCACATACAGGTTGAGGAGACTTAAGCATATACCAACTGTTTCACCGAGCTGGAGGACAAGTGGGGCAAAAGATCACACAACTATATTCTAAATTGCCTAATTATTAAAATTAGAATGACAATTATCTTCTTTCACCAAATATTGTACACCATATCTGGCCTGGTTTCTATAACTGTTGAGAAGCTTTCATAGTTTTTAGATAATTTTAGGGGTGTCCAGCCTCCCCCGCAAGTTAGGCTCTTTATTTTGGATTTTTTTGACTTAGACTTCTTCCACCCATGTGCATGCATGCACACACCCCCGTCCTCGTCGAGATCTCTGGAATGAAGGCCATTTGCACTGCTGCATTCACTTACTGTTTGGCCAAAACAAGTTGCCTGAACATTTGTAGGAAAATCTAGTTCAAGGAGTCCATGAGAGAGAGAAAATGCCCCCCACTGCATCATTTATCCCAGGGGATGGAAAAGCAATGAAAGCAAAGAATGCTGGACTTTAAATAAGCAATACAATAAAACAAAATCCATCAGCTGAAAATATTATTCATGGGGAAAGGAAAAAGCAAAACAATTATTATGTTTTTCATTTAGGATTAAAATGCACAGTGAGTACACAAGAGTCCTGTCTAACCAGCTTTCCATTAATTCTCCACTTTAATATTGGTGAGCACTGAGGTTTAGCCAATGCCACTTGCAGAGAGAGTGAACTCTCCCCCACCAGGTAAAGCTCCAGCCATTTATTAATTTGTATTCTCTGCTAACCATGCTGAGCACTGGAGTTGGCAGAAAACAATGTATTTATAACTCATTATTTTAGAAGCTGTGCAATGCTAGAGGATGAGGACATTTCCTATGATTAATTAAGATAATATCCAGTTTATCGTAAGGTAAGTCGCTCAATTTATCTTCCACAATAGCATTCCCTTTTGGTGGAGGTAACTCATTTCATATCATACTCCATTCTTCTTCTTTGTCTGCAATAAACCTTTCACAAGATTAATGTCCTGAACAAACACACTGTTTCAGCATGGATACCAACGAGACAGGGAGTCAGCTCAAAACTTTACAAGGGTTTAACTGCTTTGGAGGCTCATGGCCTGAATCACTCTCCAAATACACTGCCAGTTTGCAGACCACCATCCTGCACAGATGGGGTATAAAGTGCTGGTTCAGGAAAGCAGGGTCCATGACTGAGCCCTCCTCTCTCCGTAACTACCATAAAACCAGTTCCAAAATGTGGAGAGTTGGCCTTTTGGCATATGAATGTAATCCGGTTCAGCTGGGATTAAACTCCGTGGATATGTCAGCTGCCTAATTCAGGTGAGTGGATGAACATACGCCATGCCTTCCAACCAAACAGCCTCCCTCACTGGGAGGATGGTCTCATCTTCCTACGTTACTCTGCAAGTAAGACTGTGTTGCAAAAATGGTAATCCTTCTCCAGGATCTGGGAGGGGGGCACCCAAAGCTATATTGTACTTCTACACGTGCACCGGTTTTAGGAGGTCAAGATGACTTTGATCAGGTTCTAGGACAAGAACGAGACAATCATTTCTACCAGGTCTCTCAGGAAAGACAAACTAAGCTTTAAGCCAAAGTTAAAAACACAAACCCAAGTCATCTCCCTCACAAAGCATTGCTATAAAAAATACAACTTCTTTTATATTTGAAAAAATATGTTTCCTTGGCCACAATTTAAAGCCACAGTGCTCTGGGCCTTGTAGAATATATTGTATTTATTTAATATATCTTTATGAGACAAAGTTTATAGCTGATACACATTTTTAAATGAGACGTATCTCCCCCCACCCCTATCCCCCACCCTTCGGCTAGCTGTTGGAGGACTCTGCAGGTGCCTCCTCCACAGGGGTTTTGCACAGCACTGCTGTCAGGGGCTGCACTAAACACTGCTCTGCCAGCCCCCAAACTCGCCACCACGCAGCGGTACCACAGGCAGCCAGCCAGCCTGGGCACACGGGGCTTTGGTGAAGCTGCCCTGAAGGGAGGCTCCCCTTGGGGAGAGGGAGAGCTTTATGGTCCAGGTACCTCTGAATACCCTGGGAATGAATCATCTACAACTTTGCAATGCACAAGGGGGAACCAACTGCTCTCGGAGGCCATTTAAGCTTTGGTTTCCCCATGCCATAGGACTCTGCTGGTGCGAACCCCATCTCCTCCAAACCATCCTGGCAGCGCTAGATTTGTGCAAAGCTACTCCATGCACAGCATCCAGCGGGGTGCCTGCACTGGGGACCTGCAGAAATGTCAGGTCAGCAAGTCCATGGCCATAAAAGTCATGTGAAAAGACAAGGGTTGCTGACCCAGCCCCAGGACCTCAAACCTGCCCTCGGCCCCGGAAAGCAAAGTAGGCTGCTTGGGCTGCGGGGAGAAGGGAAAATTCACCAGCAAGAGACTTGCTAATTTTCATCCCAGCTGCTCCCTTGGGAAGCTCGTTTGAAGGGAGAGAGCCCAGAAACGTGTGTCACCACCTTCTCCCCCCGACGGTCTCTCCCTCCCACCTCTGCCCAGCTGTAGGCACTGGCTGGTCTCTTTGGCCAGTGGGGACCAGTACCTCCCAAGTCCAGCCTTGTCTCGGTGGACGCACAGCCGTGGCTCTAGCAGGTCCACAAGCTCTGGCAGGGCAGACATCTGCACCAGTCTGGGCTCCCTCTGAGCTCCAAATGCAGCTGGAGTCATGTTAATAATTTGTCAGTAATTTGACCACAAGTAGTGGCTAGACACTGAGCTTTTTGAATGAAGAGAGCGGAACCATGAGCACAAGGCTGTTCTGTCACGCTGAGCGCATTTGGAGCTTGCTGAGGTGCCATGGTCAGCACCAACTAAGCCTGGGCGCCATGTGGGTCATTGCCACACAGGCTTTTCCTGACAGATGTGTATCGAGGCACAGCATACCTAATCTGAACTGTCCTTTGCCAATAATGCCAAACCCTGGGCTGCTCTTCTGCAGGGACTGGCCACAATCATGCTCAATTATAACAATATTTACAGCAGTTTTCTGCCGCAAGAGGAACAAACTGATACCCTATCTCCATATCCAAACCCAAAGGCAGTGGCACCAAGCACGATCCCACTAATGCTCTCTGTGAACTGGTACAAACCCTGGTGGAAGCAGCAGAAGTGCTGTTATTGCAGTGACAGTATGGTCCAACGTGCTCTGCAGCCATTTGCTTTAGAAACATCATTAGGGGGAGTTATTCAAGCACGCCTCGGTGGTACTGCATTTTTCTAACTTCAGACAATACAAGTCACAATGCCCAGCCATGTGGCCAGCTGTGAAGGATACTGCCCAATTCGTAGAAAACAGAAAATATATTAATTATTTGATTATTATAAGTTAAATAAATAAAGCTCAAAAATAAAAGCCCCAATTCTGAAGAGAATTTGTTTTCCCACTTCAGTATTTAAAAATATAGATTTATGACTGATCAGCTATAGGTCATTTTCTGTATCTTTTAGGGGAGGGAGCGAGAACACTTTGACAAAGTGTTTTGTCAGTGTTATCACCATGATAAATGGGCTTTGTCCCTGCACACCCATAAAAAAGCCTCCTTAGTACCTTTCCAGCCTAGGAAATCTTCCCTAACCTCTCTGTGGCTTTGCTTTACCTCCTATATTGATCAGATCAGTTGTTTGGTTTTTTTACAGGGGACTGGACAGGAGGACAAGTAATCTTAGAGCTTCCCATTGCCTTTGGATGCTTCCAGTTTTTTCAGAGTAATCATTATTTGGCCTGGAGGGAGAGGGCAAAGGGTAAAGCCATATGATATTTGATAATACTGACATTATGAACCCGAATTATTATAAAATGAGTATCATCTTATGAGTAAATTATTCAGCTGAAGTTTTCCCTCAAAGGATCATTTGTCCTACTTGTAGAATCATCCTTCTAGGGTGATATTCAGACACTGTTTTCCCTTTCTTTAGAATAATTTTCAAGTCACATTTAGAGCTGTAAAAGTGGCCACCATTTCCTCAGCATTAACCCCTTGAAATCTTTTTATGTGACCATTATGACCATCTTTCCTGGCTCAGAAGGACCTGGCAGCACTTGCAATGAAGCCCATCAGTGGTACTGTATGTGGATGAGGTGAGCCTGTGTTGAGTAACAGGAGGTGTTACTTCACCCCCACTGCAATGGGTGAGTGCTTTGTCTCCATGGTTTCCCCAGTGATAACAAAGATATTGAAGGTACATGTCCCACCCACACTCCTGGTGTGATTAAAATGGGTTCAGCCTAAACATAAATCTTGATTCAAGGAAGGTTTTCATTCATTCTCCAGCACGTCCCACAGGAGCCGAGTGTCTCCTGTAACTGGTCAAACATAAGCATGCATTCAAAATTTGCCTTCCATAATTCTAAGTCCTATGAAAGTTCCTTCAGCATCGCTTTGAGCAATAGGCTTCTACCATACTCTTCTCCAAGGGGCATGAGTTTCTTTCCACTGGTGACTGAATGCTATGTTTGGTCTTTCTCCTGGACTTCTTGAAACCGTTTCTCCAAGCGATCCAGTTTGGCCAGATTCTCCTTCAGCAACTTGCTGTTTGGAACCAGCTGTAAGGCTTTCTCATAGTAGCCACGGGCAGTGACGTAGCTCCCCTACAAAGAAAATGAGTGCCAGATCTCATTCGCATTCCCTGACATAGATAGAAAGTTCATTCCTTGGGAATGGTGAAGACCGTAATACGAAGGAAAAAGAGTTTATAAACCTTGATATCGTTAGGTAACGGGAATACTTCTTCATTATGGAATGGATGACTGAGTGCCGTTAGCCTAAATTTGATCAAACACACATGGCAAGAAGTAGATTTACATTTTTCTGTTATGTTGTACCAGAAGAGTTAATTTTACTCAGCGATAGGATAGCTTGAGGATATCACACAATGTGACTCCTTAAGACCCAAATCATAATGATATGCTAAAGTATTCAAAAAGATAAGCAACCGCAGGACAGGCAGTCTATTTCCATAATTTCATGGCAGTATTCTGCATTACATGTCTTTATTAAATTAATTAGGTAGAGAGGAATCTTAAAAGTCAACTCATGGTGACGTTTTTCTAAGGCAGGTCAATAACTGAAGCAGATAAACTTTAGAGATAGGCAAGTTGTTCCTTGCAGCCTGTCCTCTTACAAATATGGGATTTACATTACTGGATACATATTCCCAAGTAAACTGGTTAGGAAATTCCAGTTGGGGTGGACAGACTTTCCTCCTTTTTGGATAAAATACATCGGGGACACTCACTGTTCACAAACATGCAGCTCTTGGCAGTCTGAAACAAATTTAGCTTTCTGTCCTGAGTAGTAGTCTCTGAAGTTGACAACTTAAAGAAAAGCAAAAGCGTCATACCTTGATGTGCTCAATGCCTCCCATATTCATCCAGGCCTGCGCTTGGTCTGGGTTGAGCTCCACAGCCCGTTTATAGCTCTACATAATATGAAACATTTTTAGGTTAAGAGTCTGAGCCTTCAAACAAAAGCAGCGCTGGAGGGGAAAGAGAAACTAAGTTTCCTCTCCCTCTGAATCCATTTAAAATATAATTTCAAATTCTTCTCATATACAATGCCCAAGCTGAATTCCAGTTTGTTTACAGCAGAGGTGACCTAACATACTGCTTCACCGCTGAGCTCACCTCGCAGGTTTTCTCTGCCCACGGTGCCACATGTGGAGGCACACCAGCCCCTGCGACCCTCTGCCTGCCACCCTGCCCCACTGGGGTCTCCTGCACGTCAGGGTCATTTCCTCGGGCAGGTGCCTGCCACCCACAAGCCACATGTGGGCTGTGGTGCTCCTTATCTGCAAGGCTTTACTTGGAGCTGGCAGCAGACTACGGTACAGGCACCTGCACGGAGGTTTCACAAGGACCGGAGGGCAGTGCTATCCCTCCCCACTGCTTCTGCCACTGTGCATGGGAGAAGAAGCAACGAGGACCTTCTGGACTCTGTCAAACAGCACTGTTTTTGTGGTGTCACAGCAGGAAAGGATTCAAACCAGGATTAGACATTTCCAGGGATATCGAGAGTATTCAGAACGGCCCCAATAACAATGTTCTGTGCTATTATTTAACGCTAACATAATTTCTGAGCTATCAAGCCTCCTGCTCCACAGAATAAGCCGATCTCTCAGCTATTAGGCAATGAGGTGAGATATAACAACATGGTGGACTTGCACAGGTTTCAGCTGAGCCACCTGGAGATGGCCGTTGCCAGTGAGAGGGGCTGGGGCTGGATGGACCAAAGGTTTAGTCAGTGCAACAAGGCCTAGGCTCCTCCATAGTCCCACTATGACTGTACTTAACCTCTCAGAGAAAGGAGCTGTATTTCCACACAGCAATGAGGAAAAAAGTTGCAACTAAGTCTGGCAAAGTTAGCTGCCCCATAGCTTTAGCTGTACCACTGGTGAACCGGTGAGCTCCCAAGGCCAACAGCCAGGGTGCATGCACCAGGGAGTATTACAGGCAATGAGATAACTCTATCTTTTAACCTACAAAACTACCTGTAGGGCTTAGAGCAGTCATACCTCGAAAGCCTTGTCAAGGAGATTCTGTTCTCTTAGCTGGTTTCCTTTAGTGAAGAAGAGCTCTGATATTACTTTTGGATCCTTTGGTTTTAGCTGAAGAGCTTTTTCTATAGCTTCAAGTGCCTGTGAAAAAGCAAGAGGGCATTGTGTTATTGTATTCTGCACCTTTCCACTTGTCATGCTCTCCTCACCACCAGGGCCTCCCAGCATACGAGCCATCTTCCTCCTTTCCTTGTTTGCCCCACACTGTTAACACACATGGAAATGAGCTTTTTCGATGCCAGTGGGTGATGGGCAGTGGGGCTGACAGCAGCAGGAACAGTAAGTGGTAAGAAAAGCACACTGCTTAGCTTCAGTCCCAGTACCTAGACAAACAGAAGGTTTTAGTGAAAAAATAAATTTACTGGATGTGCACTAAGGACTAAGGAACGTGACATGTCTCTGGAGAGACAGAATGTAAAATTCAGCCTGTGCTCGGTGTGTGAGCCCTCGGGACAAGGGTACCCCGTGGCCACAGTACCTTGGCATAGTGCTCCTGCTTGCTGTAGATGGCTGACAGAAGGCGGTAGCACTCCAGACACTCCACATCCTCATTGAGTATATGGTTCGTCATCTTTTCAGCTTCCTTCGTCCGCCCCATCATTGCTAAAACCTGAGCCTACAGAGCCACATTATAAAGGGTTATAAAGCTTAAATAAGCTTATATAATGCTTAAAAAGCTCAGCGCTCCTTAATACATGATACAGCACCCAGCAGCTGGTGCTCCACTTTCGTGGCCCTGCCCTGGCCGAGCTTGCCCCACACTCACCAGCGCCAGTCGGATCTCTTTGTTCGAAGGCTGCAGTGATGCCGCTTCTCTGTAAACCTGCAACGCTTCTTCATACCGCCCCGTGTTGTAATACAGAGCCCCCAGCGGGGACAGGATTTCAGCCTTCCGGGATACCTTCAGTGCCCTGGAATTTAGGAACAAGAGATACTTCCAAGTGATGTGGGGATCAAAGCAGAAAAGCGAGGTGTGGCTTGTGCTGAGATCGAGCAGCAAAGCTCTGCACTCTGCATGGTACGCTCAACCCACCCCAGGGAGCACGAATTTAAGGTCCCAGGAAGGGATGAGTGTGCCCACAGCAGCAATCCCTCTGGCCACCTGAAAAGGGGAG